TTTTTTTTTTTTTTTTTTTTTTTTTTTTTTTAAATATTTATTTTATTTATTTTTTTTGGAGGGGTGGTTTAACTTGAAATTCCTTATAGGCGTTTTAGAAATCATTAAACAGCCGAGCTCTTTAAATCTGGTTTCTTTAAGGTACGACAGGTTGTGCATCCATATTTGCTAGTCTTTTGAGAAAATTTAGGAGGTTGGAGTCTGAATAAAAGACTCTTCTGAATTTGAGCCACAGTGCTTGTATTCTGTAATAATTTCTTGGCAAGATAATACGTTCGGTGTGCTTGAATGTTGAGGGAGTGGATTCTTTCCTCTTAAAATCAAGTATTTGTATATGTGTTGAAAGATTGGCTTGGAACTTGTTTAAACTGAGGTGGAGCTTGAAATGGGAGCAGTCTTAAGGGTCTTCAGAAGAGAATTAATTTATAGCCTTGGAGCTGTGGACTGTCACGCGTTTTTTGTCTCCTTTTTCTTTTAATACTAAGAAATAATGTTTTCAACAAGATGGGTGTATTGGTTACTCTTTCTTGTCAGCCCTATTTTAGTGACTTTTTTTTTTTTTATAGCAGAGTGAGAAATGATTACAGAGAACCTCCTTTTGTGAACCAGAAGCAATTAATTATCTTGTAATGCTACTACTAATTTATTTTCAGAGCTATTACATGTAGTGGGAAGTGAGGTGACTGTCATTTTGCATGCTTCTGCTCCTTAAAAAAGCTTTTGTCACTAATATCCATAAGAACATGCTTTTGTTTCCTGGGTTTGAAAACGCCTTCGGGTTGAGAATTCAAGGAGTCTAAGTTTGTTTCTACTTAATTTTGAAAGAAGAAATAAGTCTGAAGTTCACCTGTTGTATGGAACTTTTTAAGAAGTCTTTTATGATGGAACAGTGTGGTTAAAAGTATGAGTGTATTTTGTGCACCTGCTTTGTGTGGAATAATCCACTTTTCACAGATTTTCTTGTAGTTGCCTTAGTTTTTGGGCTGTGTCCTTGCAAGTTTCCACTGTTACCTTGCACTGTCTGTTTGAGTCTAGAATTCATTGTGTGCTAACTAGACCATATTCTGCAAGAGAGGTGAATGCAATGGATTGGAACACGACTTAAATGTGATCTTTCATTCCTTGTATTTTCTTCCCAATCTGTGAATTCAGCATTTTTCCTGCTTGCTCTGTTTTGCCTGTTCTATAACGAGTTTTTGTAAGCAAGATCAGGAATTCTTGAACATAAGGACAAAGGCTTGTCATGCTTTTTCCCTTAAAATGAGGAGGAAGTGGATCTCTTCCCAAGAGATTCTTAACTAAAAGCCCACAAGAAAGGGTGGATGAAAGGAATAGGCGGAGGGAAAGAGGTTCTTTCCGAGTAGTTCTTTGACAAAGTAACTCCTTGGGTGGATGAAGGAAGGGAATGCTGTGGATATAGTGCATTTAGATTTCAGCATGGTTTTTTTTGACAAGGTCCCACATGACCTTCTCATAATCAAATCGGAGAAATGTGGGCTAGATAAAATTGCTATCAGATGGATAGATTACTGGCTCAGTAGCTGCAAGAAAAGGATCATTGTTAATAGGTCCATGCTGGAATAGCAGGAAGTTTGAGTGGAATCAGAGAGGTCTGTCTTGGGCCTGGTGCTATTCGTTGTTTTTATTAATGATTCAGATGCTGGCATAGAAAGCTTCTTGAGCAAGTTTGCAGATGACACTACTGGGAAGGAGTGTGAACATATTGGAGGATTCAATTCAGAAGGATCTTGACAGATTGGAAAGTTGGGCTAGAGCAGGGGTGGGCAATTTATTTTGGGCGGAAGGCTGCTTACCAAGTTTTGGCAAGCTGTTGAGGGCCACATGAGTAGCCCTGCCCCTTGACAGATGTCCTATTCCCCTGGTCGCCATCTTGGGGCCAGAAGTCCCACCCCTAATCTCTGACCTTTGCCCCTGGAAGTACTCCTTTGGCGAAGAGTGTTTGCCATCTTAGGGGGGAAGAAAAATTTACATACTAAAAAGCAAACGCCATAATAATATATTTTAATTTAAATTAAAAAAGTATATTTTTGTCCTGATTTGTGGTGTATATGCAGAAGTGATTGTACGTGGGGATTTGGGTATGGGTATGGAAGTCATGTAGTGCAGAGTAGGCAGGCAGGAAAGTGTGGGGAGTGGAAATGAGCAGGAGTGTGGGCCCTGCACCCAGTAGGAGTGTGGGGTGTGGTGTAGCCAGGGGTCTGTGGAATTGGGCTGAGCTGCACCAGCAGGGAGAGGGGGGAGCTGGCCCAGCTCCATAGAGCTCCTGCTGGCTGGGACCCAATGCTCCTGCCGCTCTGCTCTGGGCCGTGCTGGCACTGGCCCCAGGACACTGGCATGGGCCCCATGCTCTTGCCCAGCTGTTGCTGGCTCCTGCTAACTCCCAGTGCCCCAGCCCCAGTCCTGCGCTCGCCCGTGGGGAATGAGCTGGTGCTCAGCATGGGGAAAAAGCACCCCCGCCCCCAAATGGCCAGCACTTCCTGCTGCAGCAGCTTGTAACCTCCTGCTGCTGCTTCTGCTAGCCTGGGCCCCACGCTGGCTCCAGGCTCACCTGTCAGGGCTGAGCCTCTGCAGAAGCTGCTGCTTGGTGTAGAGGAATGCGGTCACTGCCACTGGGCAGTGTTAGCTGTGGCTGCCTGCCCAGAGCCCGTGCCACAGTAGAATTTCCTGTGCTGGCACAGCCCTATGGTCCCAGGCTAGAAGCCTCTGCTAGGCAAGGGCTTCTAGCTGGGGGGGTTGGGGGGGCCCTGCTGTTGCAGGAGCCTGCTGGGGCTTTGCCTGGGTCCTACTGCCCTGGCACCTGTCATCTTTGACAGGAGCCAGGGGCAGATAAATATTAATTTTCTAAATTTTTTAGGGGCCCTCAGGGGCTGGATAGAATGGCCTGGTGGGCCAGATATGGTCTGTGGGATGTATTTTGCCCACCGTTGGGCTAATGCTAACAGGATGAAATTCATTGTGTACAAATGCAAGGTGCTACACCTTGGGAAGAATAGTAAAAAACCCAAATATGAAATGGGGGCCATCAGGCTGGATGGCAGCAGTGTGGAAAAGGACTTGGGAGTCTCGGTAGATCACAGACTAAATAGGAGTCTACAGTGTGGTGCAGCCACAGAAAAGCTGAATGCAGTTTTGGGATGCATTGACAGAGGCATTTAGATGTGAGACATGGGAGGCAAATTGTGCCTCTACTTGGCACTGGTTCAGCCTCATTTGGAGTATTGTGTGCAGTTCTGTGCTCCACTTCTTAAAAATGACATGGAGAAGTTAGAGAGGGTCCAGAGGCAGACAACAAAGATGATCTGGGGCTTGGAAGGCACATCATATGAGGAGAGGCTGAAGGAACTAAGCATGCTTAGTAAATGGAAAATATGCTTAAGAGGGAATATGGTTTAGTAGTCTTCAAAAACTTGAAGGGCTACCATAAAGAAGGAAAGCATGCTTTTCTCTCTTGCTGCAGAGAAGAGGATGTGGACCAATGGCTTGAAGCTGCAGCAAATAAGTTTTTAGATTGGATATCCGGAAAAACTTCTTCACTGTTAGAATAATGAGGCAGTGAAATAAGCTGCCCAGGGAAGTTGTGGACTCTGTCACTGGAGGTGTTCAAGAGGAGGTTGGACGGCCACTGGTTGGGGATGATCTACGTGTAGCTATGCCTGTGTTCTACTGTGGGTATTTTTGGAGGCATTGACTTTCTTTCCTTCTTTCAGATTCATCGAAGTAAGAACAAATGGAAGTTCTACTTGAAAGATGGAATAATGTGCTTTGGGGGTAAAGACTATGTTTTTGCAAAAGCCATTGGAGATGCAGAATGGTAAAATCTCAGTGGAATATATGAGGCATAATTTTCTTTATTATAAAATGTTATGTGATCTTCTGCAAGGAGATACTAAACTTGCATTATTTTTGCAGTTGAAAACAAAACTGCATTTGTTGAATAAAATACCAGAAGTCTGATGTTTGCTTTGTGTTGCTAATACATGCAGATTGACTATGTTCAATGTTCTGTTGCCTCTGCTGTGTTTTCTCATAATTTCTTTATGCTTCTTTCTGGTGGAGACGTAATCAGAATGAATAGCTTTAATTAAAAACCGAAGTTTTGGATATACTAGTAACTTTAAGAAGAGTCATGCAATAAACTTTACGTTACTAATAGACTTTTAAATATCTTCAAGTTCTATCTTTCTGTTGTGAGTTAAAGTCTAATGCATTTAGTATAATGCATTTAAAAACAAGGCTGCTATGCTCCAAACTAATACTAGGTAATGTCTGTAAAAGATGTTAAGAGATGCTGGCATGTTTTTGTTGTGATTTTATTTTTAATTTGCATCTGAAGTGCAAGGTTGTTCTGTTAGGCTGAAGGTAGGATGCAATCTAGACTCTTGGTTAGAAGATCCTGAAGTTGACCAAACTTGAACTGTCATCAATTCACACACTCCTATGGGAAAGACTGCTAACATATGCTGAAGTTTATTGCATAGGGTAATTTTTAGAAGGAAAGTGAGTTATTGTTAATCTTTAACCAAGCCATATGACTTCTGGACATACTCCATTACGTTTTGAACATGCCAGTAAACTGCGAGTGATACAAATTGACTGCATCTAAGGGTGAGGGACAGAAATGCCGTCGCATTCACACTTCTAGCAATGATTTTTTTTTTTTTTCTTTTCTGTGCTTGAAAGTGAAGCATATTTCAGGAAATGTACACAAGCCACATGTGAATTGGTGATAGAACCCACCAGCTGAGGAAGACTTGTATCCCTCTCCCAAAAACACTCCAGGTCCTTTGCTTAAGACTGTCCCTTAGTCAGTGATTCACAGGGGTGCTCTTACCCTAGCCATCCTCAGATGAAGCTTTCTCTTGGCCAACTCGTGTTCCATGCATGTGTTTCTCCCATGGGCTTTCTGCCTAACAGGCATGGAGAGTATGCCTTCCAAGATCTTGTGGTGGAACTTTCCTGTCTATTATGTGCATAACCATTTGTCAGTCGTGTGCTCTCAGTCAGTTCTAGCTACAGTGCTTTTCAAGGGTTATAAATGTATATATCCCAATGCCTTCTTTCATTGTCTAAATAAAACCTTTTCTCTCTTGCTTGAGGTGATTTGTATCTGTGGAGCCTTGTGCCAAGTTTTTCTGAGGTTGGTGCATGGTTAGCTGTGCATGTATCCATAAGGTAGGTTTGTCTAGGTAAACTCAAGGACTCCTAATTGCCTTGTGAGTATTCCATCTATTACTGTGTGAAGTTTCCTTCTACTTTGTGTACATTTAACATCTTAAGTTCAATAAACTCAAGTACAGGGAGTAATTTTGGCATTGTTTTTTGGACATATTCAAAAGGGGAATCATAATAGAATAGAGGAGCATGGGGCACTTTGTTAGCTTGCCATACATTATCTTGTGGAGAAGGGGAAAGATTCTGTTATCTAAATGGGGAAACAGTACAGGCACCATTGAAGATGCCACTGTGTATGGCAGAATCTCCAGCCTTGGATAGGAAACAAAGGGGCTGAGAAACTATACAGGTTTGAGAGAATGAAAATACTAACCTCTGAGAGAAGTAGGAGATGGAGTTGAAGTCAGTTGTGAGATTGTAAGTGTCTTAACGTTCAAACTCTGGTACTGATTCTAGTACAGGCTTCTAAAATGGTGTGTTTTATGGAGGTTTTATCTTTTGACAACCACAGGCAGCTCCCTAGTATTTAGTCCACAAATTAGAGATCACTCAGGACCTTGCTGTAATTTCCTTATTACAAACTTGATTTCAGTCAATGTTACTGTTAACTCAAGGATTTTTAGCTACAGGAATTTTTCTTCTCAATGTGCTCAGTCAAGAAATTGCCATTCAAAGCACAGGCTGGAGTAGTCGGACCAGTTATCTTTGCTATCTAGTATGTTTCTTTTTCTCTAAGCAAGTTGCTGTTGCAATGTTTTTGACCCCTTATCTTTGATTATAGCAAACAGATTGTAGGTTGGGCTGTGGTGGGGAGAAGTAAATAATAGCAGCTGTATCAATAATAGATTCATCCCAGTACATGTACGTGTTTTTAGTTCTGTCTTTGCTGTAGATACATATAATAGTATTGGAGATGAGCATGTCAACATTTTAGCACAAAGAGGGAAAGTTTATTAAGAAACAGATGGAATAATAAGCAACTTGAATGGGAATTTGTAGCATTAATTTAGATACCTTTTAAAGATTGTTTTAACTAGCATGCTTTTCATGTATAGCAAACCTGGTGTGAACTTTTTACTAGCAGTCATTTCCCAAGGGACATACTTCATGGTAGGTACTGAAAAAATGATTTGGACAATTCTGATGCTTGCACGTAATGATATACTACATTGTGTGGATTTCTTTTCTTTTTAGGGTAGTCTGTAAGCTGCTACCATCAGGTTTTCTATATCACTCTTCCTACTGTTTAAAATTCCCTGGTACAATGACTATCGGATAGACAATAAGCACAGGTGTTCCTGTAAACTAAGAAATTAATTGATATATTCCCATCAATAGGTAGTATAAAGTGCAAGTACAAATAATCAGTTACAACATATGAGCTTGAGGCATATTTTGGCATGTAACAGGTCTTACGCAGATTTCTCTGGTTTAACTGATGCATAGCACTTGCATTTGGAGTTTAAAGAAAGTTAAGTTTCAGAAATATATCACTAATCAACAGGGTCCATTACCAATTTCAGTCTGTCTAAAATTTTTCCAGCTCCTCTGAGTACTATACATTGGTACCTTGGATCCTCTGCATCAAGAAATACATCAGGTGGCAATACTGACTTGACTGTTAAACAAATGGTCTTTCAACTTTTGTTCACACTATGCTATCGCTTTTTCATTCTCAAACCACACTTGACACGCTCATGGATATTGTTATGTCTGTTTATGAAAACTTTCCAAGTACAAAAATAGCCTAGAGCCCAAGCTATGAAAACTCATAAGTGTTAATTAGAACTCATAAAATGTTAAAAATGCCAAAATGTTATTTAACTCAAAGTAAAGCAAGAATCTGCTGTGTCATTCACTGGCAGTGAAAAGTGTCCATTAGAACTGGAGCATTTACCTTTATAATGACGATCATTATAAGGTTTGGACTGAGGAGGAAAATAGTAGATTTTGTCACTTCAATAAAATACCACTTTTTTTATCTTGTGTGTCTTAAAAGAATCATGTGTCTGTAGCTATTTTTGGGCCCCATGGAATAGCTTCTCACTGGAAGGTCCAGCCTAGTGTACTTTAGAAGTCTGGCTGTTGTGTTGAAAGTTATGTGAGAACAGAAAACAACACAATTTATTCCCAAATGAAAAAAGCGCTTGAAGGCCTCTGACAGACCTTAAAATAAAGGTGTGATGGGATCTGATGTGGAATCCCAACAATCCAACTTTCTGTTGTGCTTCTGCTGTGCCACACAGGCAGGGTAGGAAGTATGATGGTAAGATCTGGCATCAGATCCCATTGTGCCATATTACTGGTGCACGGGGAGCTTGATCCCAGACTCCCCCTGCACCAGTGAGTAGCAAGCTTGGCTCCCTATGCTTCCCTGGGCTGGGAGCGCCAATCAGGTGAGGGGCACTTCTAGCCTCTGAAGCACAGAAGTCTTGAAAGGCTCCTGTGTGCTCCAGAGGCTGGGGACTGGCACATGTTCAATTAATGGCGTGATAAGAACAAGCAACAAAGTTATTACACATGTTTTGTTTGTAGCTTTATTCCTTGTTTTATCATGCCATTAACTGAATTGAACATGTGGCCAGGTCACTACTTAAGATACCATTAACTGGTAAATTGCATCTTAAGTGTAACATGTCAGGGGCATCTGGGGCCTAATAAATATATTAATTACTATGACCCATATGCTTGTAATGTTTAGGTCTTGAACTACTTATTTCTTTTAATGCTTAGTTCTGAACATTAGTCTTATAAGGCAGTTGTAAATCTAGGAGTAAGTCTATCAAGGACAAGCTACCTTGATAGAGTTGAAATAATAGCTAGAGCTTTTATATCCCTTCCTAAATGCAAGGCTATGAGGGTGGTTAAGCATTGCTAACCAATTCCTAATATACAAGGGCCTTGGTTTACCAGTCCAATCAATACTTCTTAAAGTGTAACTCTGGGAAAGCAGGTCAACAGATCACATACACGCATTTGCTGCATCCCTGTCAGATTTGGAGTGGAAGTGCAATAGCTAAAAGGCATGCAGATCCTGTGATCAGATGATACTCAGGCTAGAGATCTTGGCCTACAAGAGGCTACTATGGAAGTACATTCCCAGGTTTGATCTTTTGTGCTTATGGGAAACTAACTGTGCAAAGGTAATGGATTATTTGGCACAAAACTTGGGAATGTATTACATGGACTAAGGAGGCAAAAATAATCTTACTGTAAAATATAATCTAGGATAAGAGACCATTCTGCTTGATGAGCTGGAAACTGGACAGGAATCACTGAGAGGGAGCCACTAGTGGATTCCAAATTCTGTAGGCAGTGGTGACAGGGCTGCGCTGTGCCATGTTGCAGGCAGGTGGTGTCAGCTGCTCCTGGCTCTAATGGAGCAGGAGCTGGGGTGAGTGGGGACAAGTGGAGACCTGGGACTGCAGCAGGGAGCAAAGCAGAGATAACTGTAAGTGGGTGCGGGGCATGACTCTTGCTGCTATGGGTGAATTCCAGGAAGGCTGCAGGCTGAGGGGGCTGCACCAAGCTCATCTCAGGAGGGCACTTGCCCCCAGATCTGCACGCAGGGTAAGAGCAGGCTGCTGCTGCTGGCTGGGGCTGATGGTGGCACTGGGCTCTTCCCGGTGCTTGGCGGCAGCGGTGGAAGGGCAGGTTGTGGGGGCTATAGCAAATTTCAGGGTGGCAGCAGCCCCACTCCCAGCACCCTGAGTGCCCGGAAGAACCCAGTGCCACCACTGGCCGCTGTCTACATTGACAGCTGGCTCATCTTGCACACAGCTCCGGGGGCATGCACCCCCTGGGAAGAGCCTGGCACAGCACCACAGCCTGCAGCACTCCTGGGGTGCACATAGCAGCAAAAGCCATGCCCCCTAGTCCCGCACCCACAAACAGTTCCCTCCACTTTGCTCCTGCTGCAGCCCTGGGAGCAGCCAACAGCCTGCACCGCATCCCTCCCTCTGTCCCTTCCCTAGTCCCAGCCTTACTCGCTCCCTCTCTTACCACTGTGGGAATGTATCCCTATTCCTTACATTGTAAATTGGGTTCCTTTTATGCAAATTCAGTTTATGTGCAGTTTTCCGGGAATGCATGTACCACATAAATTGAGGGAAGTCTGTATGAGTTCAAGAAAGGTGTTAGGCACAGCCCTCAGCTAAGGGTGCTATGGAAGCTACACAGCCCTAGAAAATTTGTCAACTTTGGAGCATCTCCCAGGTATCATTTTGCCCTGCTCCCCTCTTCTTGGGAAAGGAAGATATTAGTTATTGCTGTCCTTTACTACCACCTTTTGGCCAGCAAACAAAGCTGGGGGGTCTGACTATACCCAGCACTGCTAGCAATACAGAGCACATGGAGAGCAGCTCTTGCTCATACCTACCTCCTCTTTGCTGTTTGACTAGGGCCACATGCAGGCATTGTTTCTACCAGGAGAATTGTTGCTCTCCCACTATAAGCATGCAAGCATCCATTCAGTTTCTCCCATGGGAAATGTATGCCTTCCAGAAGAAAGATCTTCCAGGTATCAACCTGAAAGATCTCCCTTTAAAAGAGAAAAACGTCTTGCAAGAGTGAATGCTTGTATACTTTCATCTCTGTCTGGTGTAGGAAGGGTGTGATTGTAGTAGGGCAAAGCTCCCTCCACTTTCCCAGACTGGGAACTGGTTCAGGAGGTGACTGGAACAGTGGGACAAGCACCCTACCTGACCCTCAGGGTGGGATCTCTGATCTCAGGAGTAGGGAGAGGGGTTTGCCATGCTGCTGCCTCCCCTCCTTTCCTAGAGATCAAAGGAGGAAAGCAAAGATGAGAAGGGTGCTCCTGCCTATTCCCCAGGTCTGGGGAAGGCTCAGGGAGTCTTTCCTCATAGCTCTACTCCCCACAGGGACCAGGAATAGTGGAGCAGCCAGTGCTCCCCGTGCCTTTCTCTGACTGATATCAACCTCATCCGGTAGAAATCTAAAGAGGGGTGGCTGCAGACTGAATGTGTGTACACTGCCTCTCTCAAAAAGATTTCCACCAGTAGAAATGAAAGCTTGTTCATGGTAATCGGAACAGTCCTCACTGCTCAGGAAATAGGTGTGGACTGTCTGCTCTGCTAAGCAAATTAATACAAGAGTGCAGCCTAGCCCTCAAGTACATCAAATTTTCCCTTCTAGTTAGTGCAACCGCTCACTTCTACCCTTCATTTGAAAATACTTCTGATCTCATATTCCTTAGAGCTACTCATCAACCATTTAGCATTTGTTGCATGCGCACAGACTACAAAGTTTTGAAACTATTTAATCTTTTAATAACATTAAGCATGAACATGTTCAGTCATTTTATTTTAATGAGAACTTGCTGTCTCATGAACCCATATGTAGAGTATTCAGCAACTCTGGCTTTCCATCAACACAAGCATTTCAGTTTATCTTATCCTGCATTCTGCTGGCAACATTAGAAAGTAGTGTGGCTGGAAAGTAAATAAGATAATAAAAGCTTAATTGAGTAAATTCCAAGGAAAGACCCATCTGAACATGCCTCTTACATGTAGTCTCTACCAGCTTCCTTTCCAAAGGAAAAAACATGGTTATTTACCAAAAACTTCACTATCTAGCACGATGGTTCTCAACCTGTTTTAGACTCAGGACACCACTCAGAAAATGACAGCTCTTGGTTTCCATTCATTTTTTGACAAAAAAATAGTAGAGCAATCTTTCTGTTGCAAAAAACTCAGAAAGACCACAACAAATTGGAATGCCTTAAGCAATCTATGTTCCTATTCGAAATCTCTGGGTTTCTCTTGTAAATCACATTTGCACACTTAACAATGCTAACATTATGGGGAACCCTACAGCACCCTTGAAAGGATCTCAAGGCACCCTAGGGTGAGAAGACACTGAGCTAGTTGTAACCAAAAAATATTTTAAATGCTTTTTTTAAATGGGTACAAAGATGATTGTTACAATATGTCCCTGTGGCCTACAGAGAACTCATCCCAGCTCATAATAAATGAAAGATACTCCCCTTACAACTATTCTGCTATTTTTGATGAGAATGAAATGATTGGCTTTGATTTTGATTACGACTTCTGTCAGCTTAAAATGCTCAGATGCACTCCTAAACCCAGATGCATTTAATCCTTGTGAAGATATCCTCAGATACAGCTTTCTGCAAGTCTTGATTTGCTTTATTAACATCTTGGCTGTTGTTGGCAGTTTCACTTTACTCCTTGTCCTACTAATTAGCCATTACAAACTGACTGTTCCCCGTTTCCTCATGTGTGACCTCTCCTTTGCTGATTTCTGCATGGGACTTTATTTGCTGTTTATTACCCATAGATGCCCAAAAGAGTGGTCAGTACTACAACCATGCAGTACACTGACAAACTGATAGTGGCTGCGGTACTACTGTTTTTTTTTTTTTTTTTTTTTTAAATCCAATGTTTGCAAGTGAGCTTTCAGTTTACACCCTCACAGTGACCATTGTGGAGAGGTGGCATACCATCACCTATGATGCAAGGCAGCTGGATCAAAAGTTCTCCCTAAGGCATGTTATCTTGATCATGCTCAGAGGGTGGGTATTTTCCACTTTAACAGCAGCATTACCTCTTGTAGGAGTCAGTAGTTACATGAAAGTCAGCATTTTTTTTTACCCGTGGATACAGAAACAACTCTTCCCCAAGCCTACATATCAATCATTTTAGTGTTAAATATTCTTGCCTTGATAGTGATTTTTGCTTGTTATATTAACATTTACATAGCAGTTCAAAATCCAGAGCTGGTAGCTGCTAACAAAGATACCAAGATTGCCAAGAAAATGGCAGTATTGATCTTCACTGATTTTACCTGTATGGCATCCATCTCATCTTTTGCCATATCAGCTGCCTGGAAAGTACCTCTCATCATAGTGACCAACCCTAAGATTTTGCTCATTGTTTTATTCAGTCAATTCCTGTGCAAACCCATTTCTGTATGCCATTTTAACCGAAGATTTTCAAAGG